TATGGAAAAGACTAGTTATATAAAGTATGAAACAAAGAAATTTGGTGCAGCCATTAATGACCATGTTTTAGATGGGTACTTAATACCGTAGAAAAATATATGTTATGGGAAAAACACACAGCAAAAATATGTATAACACAATGCCAATTTTCTTAGTGTCTGTGTGTGTGTACATACTATAAACAAAAGACTGGAGAAATACATAAAAGTATTAATTGCTATCTCTCTGTAGTGGATTTACAGGTAATTTAAGTTTTCTTCATTGGGTTATATGTTCTGAATTAAAATGCACTGTTTATAATCACGGAGTCCCTGTATGGCGCAAACTAAAAGGTTGAAGGTTCCAGTCCACCCAGAGATGCCTCGAAGAAGGGTCTGGCTAGCTGTTTCCAAAACTCCAGCCTTGAAAACCCTATAAAGCACAGTTGTACCCTGATATACATGGGGTCACCAAGAATCAGAGTTTATAATTACACGTTGATGTTGCCATGGTTAAGCGCTTGGTTGTTAACCAAAAAGTTGGCAGTTCAAACCCACCCAGTGGCTCTGCAGGAGAACGACTTGGTAATCTGCTTCCATAAAGATTGTGGCCAAGAAAACCCTATGGGACAGTTCTACTCTGCCACATGGGGTGGCAATGAGTCGTAATTGACTGGATGACATCTAACAACAATAACTGTATATTTTTCACTCATGTTTCTGTAATGAATAACTAAAGTCACTGTATGTACAACTGTGGGTTCTTTTCCCCCCACATCTGTAACTGTGAGGATTGCGTCAGCTGATCTCTTTGGTCCTTTCTGTTTCTAAAGTTTTACAAATAAGTTTTATGAAAAACAAAAAGTGATCCAGAGACATAAGAACACACAGGCAGACAGACACATACAAAAAGCTTGATGAAGAGACATTATAAAGCACACCGTGTCACACCCAGAGAGAATGAGGGTTCCGGAGGGTCAGTGTCGGGGTGATTCTTAGAATAAATCCCCTGTGGTCGCACTCAGATGGGCACCTGAGCTGGGTGTGGACATCTGAGTCATCATCACTGTCTTTTCAAGTAATGATGATGATCAATAAAAAAATAGGTGTAAGAATAAGTAAGTAAAGTGCTTGCTTTGTGCCAGGCACTGAGTGCCTTACACACAGTGTATTTTAGGTACCATGAAGCTCACTTTACATACAAAGAAAGTTATAGAGGTTACTTAAAATGCTCATAGTCTCATGACTAGTAGTATTGTTGTTAGATGCTGTTGAGTCCATTCCATCTCATAGCGATCCTATGTACGACAGAACGAAACACTGCCAGGTCCTGGGCCATCCTCACAATCATCGTTATGCTTGAGCCCATTGTTGTAGCCACTATGTCAATCACTAGTATTAGCATTACCATATTGCATATACTTTCTGGACTGTTAACTAATTTTTATCTTTTTTTTTTTTAAAAATTTATAAAAGAGTTCATTTCACACTAGACTTCTTTTTCTTTTTTAAAGGAGAATGGAATTTCTCTTGTAACCTCAGAACTATTTATCAATTTACTAACAATACCTGAATTCCCTTTGATATTTTAAACTATCAGATCACCTGATCTTTTGTGAAAGATAAAGACTATCTTAACTATGAGTAAAAGTTACATAAAAATCATTATTTTATTATTTAGAAGCCTTTAAGAACTAAAGAGAAACTTTTTTTTTTTCATTGATGTTATGAGAAAGCAGTGAGGAGATTCTTCATAATAAATAAATTAAACTTGTCTTAAAAAAACCAAAAAACACCAAACTTGTTGGCTTTGAGTCAATTCTGACTCATAGCAACCCTATAGGACAGGGAGTAGAACTGCCCCATAGGGTTTCCAAGGAGCAGCTGGTGGATTTGAATTGCTGACCTCTTGGTTAGCAGTCAAGCTCTTCACCACTATGCCACCAAGCCTCCTTAAATACTTTATCAAAACTTTACCAAGTCTGATAAGAATGGTATAGCAATGGTGGTTCCACTGGGAAAAAATTATTCGCCAGGTTGTAGTTCAGAATTCCAGGTTGCCATGGTTAGAAGGACCGAAAATTGATCTCTTGAGAACAGGGTCCTTTGTAATGCAGTTTGGAATACAGAAGAAATGAAACAGCCCATTACTTAGGATAATGATCAGTTGCTCCTCAGATTCACTCAGAAGGAGGAAAAAAAAATAAAAGAGTTACAGAGATGAAGGATTTAAACTCCCTACAAGTACAGCTCTCCTATTAATGAGCGAAGTTAAATATGGAAACAGAATTCTGAAAAGGACTTAAATATTTATGGAAATTATGACTACACAAATAAGAAACACAAATCTCTAGAAATCATATTATTTTTCAGGAAAAAAATCATATTTGTATAACTTGTGTTACATTCATCTTTGGTTATCTTAATCTGCTTTTTTTTTAGCTGAGAATGCAATGCAACACTATTTTTCCTCTTATACAGAAACTCACATAACAGACATGGTGACACTTTATAAATGTGGGAACAGATTTCTAAGGAGATTTAAAAATTTCAGTTCCCAAAAAAGATTTTTAAGTAGGGGATATCAATTCCAAATTTCCTGCTGAAATATGGTCCTATATAAAGGCAGGGATGGGTGATTAGAGGCTCAGAACTTCCATTCCTTCATGGCTAATTTTCTCAGGACCGGACAGTGAGATCAAGAAGAAATGTCACTGCCATTCCAGCATGCACCTTGCCTGAGAGAAGCTTTTCTCTGAGTTCTAGATTTGCGTAATTTTTTGGATGAATGCTGAGTCTTAAACTTTAGACATAATCTGTGCTCAAAATTCAAGTAAATTTTGCTATTTGATGAAATTTATATTTGGGAAGGATATTTTCCCCCAACAACATAACAGATAATCTTTTACAGTATAAATAAACCCATTGGTGTTGAGTTGATTCTGACTCATGGTGACTCCCATGAGTATGGAGTAGAACTGTACTCCGTAGGGGAACTTTGGGAAGCAGATCGTCAGGTCTTTCTTCTAAGGCACCTCTGGGTAGGTGTGAACCACAAAACTTTCAGTTAGTAGTCAAATGCTTAACCGTTTGTACCCCCAGGGACTCCTGCACTATAAATAGGGAAGCACAATTACATTTTGGACTCTGGAGTCTAAGTATAATTTTATCATGGGAAACATACTGACAAAATACTTGTATATTAAAATACACTTGAAAAAAAATTCATTTCTACTTTGGTAGGTCTTTTCTCTAAACAATAACAGAACAGCAATGTGGACCAAGATGCTGCTGCCATCAAATTGATTCCGAGTCTTAGAGACCCTATAGGACAGAGTAGAATGCTTTATAGGGCTTCCAAAGCTGTAAATCTTTACAGAAGCAGACTGCGACATGTTTCTTTCGAAGAGCGGTTGGTGGGTTTGAACTGCTGACTTTTCAGTTAACAGCTAATGCTTTAACCACCACGCCACCAGGGCTCCTCATATTAAAATATATTTGAAAAAAACCTCATTGTACTTTGTAGGTCTTTTCACTAAACAATAATATATCAGAGCAGCAATGTGGACCAAGATGCCTTCTGAGTAAGCTGCAAATAAATTCTTCCAGAGATGAAAAGAAACAAAAAATAAACTAAAACTAGTGTTTTCTTTTACTTTCACAATAATTGACTCAAGTCATGCTTGATTTAACACCTCTGAATGAAAGAATGTGAGAACATCTTCCTGAAAAAGAAGTTAACTTTGGCTCTCCCAGGGCTCAGCCTCTTCTTTAAGAGTTCTATCAGGATGCCTTTATGTTGCCTACACATACTAATATATCCTTGCTTTGTTCACAGTGCAATTTAGTTTCTGGAAAATCTTCCTTGATTTAACAGTTCCCTTGAATATTATCTCCCACAAATTTTCAGCTACTGAGGAGAAGCCCCATGGAAGATACACGTTCTTCCTGAAGGTGACTGCCAGATATGCATGTCATTCTAAAAAATAGATGCAGGATAACCCCTATAATGTTTCCAGCCATTCAGTTGCTCTGAAAAGCATAAATAATTTCCACTCCATTTACTTACTATATTTGAGAGATGACATAATTAAACAGAATTAGCTCACATCAAGACCAAACAACATATGCATGTGATAAATTAAATCCAACATTATAAAGAAATAAAAGAAGAAAAAGAACCAATAAAGGGAAAGAAATGACCTAATCTTGAGATGTATTTTATTATTAACCCTTGCTTAAAATGAGCACATTTGGGAAACAAATGGACAAACACACCTCTTACTAACAGACTCAAGCCTCCCTGATGACTGTTTTTGAAGTAGAGGAGGTTTAAAACACAGCAGCTTTCATAGCAGAGCTATTTACACAATCAGAACTACTACAAAAGACCATCAACATCTTGATTTTCTAATATGATGAATGGCTGCTTAAAGTGACATATGTTTCTTTTTTTATGAAATGTAAACTATAATAGTTAGGCTAAAATAATTTAAATAAAGGAAAAACATATCTTTTCTGGTAGGTATAGTTCCACCAAAATTTTTATTTTGCCTAAATTAATAATTTTCTTTTCATCTTCCTTTTAGACTCCCCGTTTTATACAAGCTTGTTAAACATAAAATGGCACAAAACTGCTAATTTGCTAAGAAATTTATTGAAAATAAAAAAGCAAACACACATGGAAAGTCATATACCTATGAGTCAAATAATCTGACTTTCATATGTTCTTATTATTAAGAAAAGAAATATATCTGTGCAGTCAAGCAGACTATCCCAAAGAATCTAAAATCACAGTCTTGGCTTGGCTATTTAATTTCTCTTTACCTAAATTATTAGGTCAAGAGTAACAGTAAGATAGCAAACCACAAAGGGAGTTATAAACCAAACAATATAATTAACAAACAGCAATTAGCTAAGTGATTCTTTTGTTCAAAGACTTATATCTGTCCAAGACTAATCTCCTTTAAATTTACCCCCACAGAAGGCTCACACTTTTCCAATACCCTTCTTCTACATACTGGGAATTTGCTGGATCCTGTGGACAACGACAAATGCATCAGACAGCCCCACTTTCACTGGATGATTGGTGGAACTTATCTGTGTGACCAAGACAGGAATCTGGAAAAGAAGAAGCAGATTGTTATGTGTTAGATTTGAATTTCATTGGGGTGGGGGGTGGGGGTTGATCACCTTGTGTAGTGGACAAAACCAAGTAATGGGTCTGAAATACTAGGGAAGGGGAGAGAAATATTAGAGGATATAGACAGAATATTTAAAAACATCAGTTTAGTGAAATTTGATGGGTTAAGGTAACAAGTGAGTTCCTGGTCCTCAGGATGATTTCTTGAAGTTGAAAACAACAGATTCTCAGAGAAGTCTCCCTAACTGATGCTGTATGCTGAAAATTTACCACCTATACGTTGTTGTACATAGGGTCACTATCAGTCGGAACCAACTCAACAGCACCTAACATATGTTGTTGTTGTTAGATGCTGTTGAGTGGTCTCTGATGGTGACAAAACAGAACAAAACATTGCCAAGTCCTTTGACATTTTCATGATCACTGGCATATTTGGGCTCATTTTCCAGAACTACATTGGATAGTATTCTGTTGTAATCAATTAGGTTTTCAATGCTAATTTTCAGAAGTGGATCTCCAAACCTTTCTTTCTAGTCTGTCTTAGTCTGAAAGCTCCACGGAAACTTGCCCACAGTGGATGATCCTGCTAGTATCTGAAATACTGGTGGCATAGCTTCCAATATCATAGCAACATGCAAGCAATCACAGTACAATAAATGGACAGACAGGTGGTAGACCACCTATATAGGTACACCATACATACATTTGATGCTGGCTATAATTTCAGGAACAGAAACTTTTCTGTTTGTTTTCCTGAAAGACATCGCTATAGATTTTTTTCTTTTACAGTTATTTTAAAATCTTTGTTCCTAGGTGGTCTTATAGGTACAAAATCTAGGGAAAGACAAATAAATGCACTGCTGAATATATATTTAACAATATCATTATGGTTGGTATATTGTTGAATTTGGAAATTGTTAAATGGGTATCAAGCTTCACCATTCTGGTTGAAACACACAAGGAAAATTTATGACTTATTGTGGGTCATCTAAGGCCATTTTTCCTAAATTTGAAATCCAGTAGAACCAAAATCTAAATATGATAGACATTTTAATATTTAGTTTAAAAAAATTAGGAAATTTTGAGAATATATTTAAAATGATACAATAATTGCAAATTAGACAAATTCTTGGGTCCAGTATTTTTAGATATAGAAAAGATTCATTGGGGATATGATTGCTCTCTTTATTGTGGTGTTATAGAAATAAAAATAGGAATGATACCACCTTTACTATATAAACAATGTAAAGGTGTTTGCCAATTTTATTTCAGTATTCTCATTATTTCCTCAACATATAGAAAGCAAAAGTCCTCACAACTAGACCAATAAGCAACATCTTGATTAATGGAGAAAGTACTGAAGTTGTCAAGGATTTCATTTTACTTGGATCCACAATCAACGCCCATGGAAGCAGAAATCAAGAAATCAAACAAAGTATTGTAATGGGCAAGTCTGCTGCAAAAGATTTCTTTAAAGTGTTAAAAAGCAAAGATGTTACTTTGAGGACTAAGGTATGTCTGACCCAAGCCATGGTTTTTTCAATCACCTCATATGCATGTGAAAGCTAGACAATGAATAAGGAATAGAAAAGAAGAATTGATGTCTTTGAATTATGGCGAAGAACACTGAATATACCATGGACTGCCAGAAGAATGAACAAATCCGTCTTGGAAGAAGTAAACAGCCAGAATGTTCCTTAGAAGTGAGGATGGTGAGACTTCGACTCATGTACTTTGGATATGTTATCAAGAGGGACTAGTCCCTGGAGAAGGACATCATGCTTGGTAAAGTAGAGGGTCAGCGAAAAAGAGGAAGACCCTCAATGAGATGGATTGACACACTGACTGCAAAAATGGGTTCATTGCAACGATTATAAGGATGGTGCAGGACCTGACAGTGTTTCCTTTTGTTGTACATAGTGGTAACTAGGAGTCAGAACTGACTCGATGGCACTTAACAACAAAAACAACATTCCCAGTTTTTAAAGAGAATATAAAAGCATTCTTATATTTGGACAACAAAAATAAAACAAAGATTTCTGCCCCTAAAACTCATTTACTAAAAGGAACTCTGATACATTTTATTTAGTGATTTAACAATATATATACATATACACATTTATATTTGTATACACATATATACATACATATATTAGTAAATTCTTAAATATTGTGTATATGTGTGTGTGGGTGTACACGCATACACACACACACACGCATATATATATATAGTTGTTAGGTGCCATCAAGTCAGTTCCAACTCATAGTGACCCTATGTACAACAGAACAAAATACTGCCAGGTCCTGTATCATCCTCAAAATCATTGTTATGCTTGAGACCATTGTTGCAGCCACTGTGTCAATTTATCTTATTGAGGGTCTTCCTCTTTTTCCCTGACCCTCTACTGTATCAAGCACGATGTCCTTCTCCGGGGACTGGTCCCTTCTGATAACAAGTCCAGAGCACATAAGATGAAGTCTCACCATCTTTGCTTCTAAGGAGCATTCTGGCTGTACTTTTTCCAAGACAGATTTTGTTGGTACTTCTGCCAGTGAATGGTATATTCAATATTCTTCGTCAATACCATAATTCAAAGGTGTCAATTCTTTAGTCTTCCTTATTAATTGTCAAGCTTTCACACGCATATGAGGTGATTGAAAATACCACAGCTTGGCTCAGGAGTACCTTAGTCTTCAAAGTGACATCTTTCCTTTTTAACACTTCAAAGAGATCTTTTGCAGCAGATTTGTTTAACGTGGTACGTCATTTGATTTCTTGCCTGTTGCTTCCATGGGTGTTAATTGTGGATCCAAGTAAGATGAAACCCTTGATAACTTCAATGTTTTCTCTGTTTATTATGATGTTGCTTATTGGTCCAGTTGTGAGGATTTTTGTTTTCTTTATGTTGAGGTGTAATCCACACTGAAAGCTGTAGTCTTTGATATTCATCAGTAAGAGCTTCAAGTCCTCTTCACTTTCAGGAAGCAAGGCTGTGTCATTTGCATAATGCAGGTTGTTAATGAGGCTTCCTCCAATCCTGATGCCCCGTTCTTCATCATATTGTCCAGCTTCTCAGACTATTTGCTTAGCATACACATTCAATAATTATGGTGAAAGGATACAAACCTTATGCATACCTTTCTTGACTTTAAACCATGCAGTATCCCCTTGTTCTGTTCAAACGATTGCTTCATGGTCTATGTACAGGTTCTGCATGAGCACAATGAAGTGTTCTGGAATTCCCATTCTTTGCAAGGTTATCCATAATTTATTATGATCCACACAGTCAAATCCGCTTTTATAATCAGTAAAACACAGGTAAAAATCTTCCTGGTATTCTCTGCTTTCAGTCAAGACTCATCTACATCAGCAATGATATCCTTCATTCCATGAACTCTTTTGAATCTAGCTTGAACTTCCGGTAGTTCCCTATGGATGAAATGCTGCAACTGCTTTTGAATGATCCTCAGCAAAATTTTACTTGTGTGTCATATTAATGATATTGTTCAATAATTTCTGCATTCTGTTGGATCACCTTTCTTTGGAATGGGCACAAATATGGATCTCTTCAGTCAGTTGGCCAGGAAGCTGTCTTCCAAATTTCTTGGCACAGATGAGTGAGCACCTCCAGCACTGCATCAGTTTGTTGAACCATCTCAATTGGTATTTGTTATGGATTGAATAGCGTTCCCTCAAAATGTGCCAACTTGGCTAGGCCATGATTTCCAGTATGGTGTGATTGCCCACCATTTTGTCATCTGATGTGATTTTCCTATGTGTTGTAAATCCCATTTCTATGATCTTAATGAGGCAGGATTACAGGCAGTTATGTTAATGAGGTAGGACTCAATCTACAAGATTAGGTTTTGTCCTAATCTCTTTTGAGATATAAAAGAGAGAAGCTAGCAGAGAGACAGGCGGACCTCATACTGCCAAGAAAGAAGAACCGGGAGCATAGCATGTCCTTTGGACCCAGGGTTCCTCTGCTGAGAAGCTCCTCAAACAGGGGAAGACTGATGACAAAGACCTTCCCCCAGAGCAAACACAGAGAGAAAGCCTTCCCCTTGACCTGGTGCCCTAAATTCAGGCTTCTAGCCTCCTAGACTGTAAGAGGATAAATTTCTGTTTGTTAAAGCCGTCTACTTGTGGTATTTCTATTACAGCAGCACTAGATAGCTAGACAGTATTCTGTCAATTTCTAGAGGCTTGTTTCTCATCAATGCCTTCAGTGCAGCTTGCTTGGACTTCTTCCTTCAGTACCACTGGTTATTGATCATAGGCTACCTCCTGAAATGGTTGAACATCAACCAATTTTTTTTTGGTACAGTGACGGTGTATTCCTTCTATCTTTTTTGATGCTTCCTGTGTCATTCAATATTTTCCCTATAGAATCCTTCAATATTGCAATTCAAGGCTTGAATTTTTCTTCAGTTCTTTTAGCTTGAGAAATGCCAAGTGTGTTCTCCGCTTTGGGTTTTCTAACTTCCAGGTTGTTACATACATATTTCATTATAATACTTTACTTTGTTTTCTCAAGCTGCCCTTTGAAATCTTCTGTTCAGCTCTTTTACTTCATCATTTCTTCTGTTCACTTTAGCTACTTAACATTCAAGAGCCAGTTTCAGAGACTCTTCTGAAATCCATTTTGGTCTTTTGTTTCTTTACTGTCCTTTTAATGACCTTTTGCTTTCTTCATGTAAGATGTCCTTCATGTCATTCCACAACTCATCTGGTCTTCAGTCATTAGTGTTCAATGCATAAAATCTATTCTTGAGATTGTCTCTAAATTCAGGTGGGATATACTCAAGGTCATAATTTCGCTCTCATGGACTTCCTCTAATTTTCTTCAGCTTCAGCTTGAACTTGCCTGAGAGCAATGGATGGTCTGTTCTGTAGCCCACCCCTAGCCTTGTTCTAACTGACGCTGATTCTCCATAGTTTCTTTCCATAGATATAGTTGATTTGATTCCTTTGTAT